CATAAGGACCACCGACCCAATAGCCACCCATGGAGACCCCCATCTTCTTCCCCCTTCTTGGAGCCCTGGTGGCCCCTCTTGCAATTGCAGCCCCCCAGATCACCCCTCCCTCGGGAAGGCCACCCCATATCTCTCACCCGTTCCCTTGCTAGGGTAATTCAATAAGGACCACCAACCCAATAGCCACCCACGAAGACCCCCATCTTCTTCCCCCTTCTTGGAGCCCTGGTGGCCCCCAAGACCCCCTTTGCAATTGCAGCCCTCCCCAGATCACCCCTCCCCAAGGAAGCCCCCCACCCCCATACCTCTCCCACCTATTCCCTATCTAGGGCAATGCATCCATAAGGACCACCGACCCAATAGCCACCCATGGAGACCCCCATCTTCTTCCCCCTTCTTGGAGCCCTGGTGGCCCCTCTTGCAATTGCAGCCCCCCAGATCACCCCTCCCTCGGGAAGGCCACCCCATATCTCTCACCCGTTCCCTTGCTAGGGTAATTCAATAAGGACCACCGACCCAATAGCCACCCATGGAGACCCCCATTTTTCCCCCACCTTCTTGGAGCCCTGGTGGCCCCCAAGACCCCCTTTGCAATTGCAGCCCCCCCCCCAGATCACCCCTCCCCAAGGAAGACCCCTCCCCAGACCACCACCACCACCCCCGACTCACCCCTCCTGCGCGCAGCCCCCTGACCCCGGCCGGGCCGGGGAGCCGAAGCCCCCGCAGGAAGCCCAGCCCGGCTCGACCCACCGCCGCCGCCGCCGCTGCCATCTTGCCGGAGAGGCGGAGAGCCAGCAAGCCGCGCCCGGGAACGGGCGGAGCGGAGCGCCTGGCCACCCACCCACCCGCCTGCCTCCCTCCCTCCTCCTCCTCCTCCGCCGCCCTGGGCGCCTCGCAGCCTCCCCGCGAGGAGCAGCCCCTCTCGGGGTGGATGGGCGGGAGGGCGGTGGGGGCAATTGTGCCAGGCCCCTGGAGGGCGCCCGCTTGGAGGAGAAGGGAACTCGGGGCTGGAGCGGTGGGGG